CTTCACTTAGCTTTACCTGTTTAAAGCCTCCATTTCCACATATAGTCACATTGAGGGTTGGGTGCATGAATTTTGGGGGAACACAGTTCAGTCCATAACACTGATTTTCTGTCTACTTATATTATTGATTACTGACAGGAGTGCTGAAGTATCCAACTGTATTTGTGGATTTATTGGTTTCTCTTTTTAGTTCTGTCAGTTTTTGCTTCGTGTATTTTGAAGTTCTTTCTCAGCTTTCAAATACTGTGATTCACTGTGTGCTCCCTCCCCCTGTTTTATTATGGACATTTTCAAACATGCTTAAAGTTGAAAGAATGGTACAGTGAATATCATATACTTACCACTGAGATTCTACAGTTAACATTTTCTTATATTTTCTGAATCACATAGCCATCCCTCTATTTATTTCATCAATCCTTTTTTCTGTTTTTTTAAGTAGGCTCCACGCCCAGTGTGGAGGCCGACACAGGGCCTTATTAACTCATGACCCTGATATCAAGACCGGAGCTGAGATCAAGAGTTGGATGCTCAACTCACTGAGCCAGCCAAGGGTCCCAATATATCTTACTTTTTGATGCATTTCAAAAAAATTTGTAGCCACTTTATCTCTAAACATACAAGTATATATATTATTAATGAGAATTTAATAATTGTAATTAAGTTCCTTTTTTTTCAGTAAAATTTTCATTTAGTGACATTTACAGATCATGAGTTGATCAGTAAGTCTTGCTGTCCATAGTAATACTGTGTACTTAGCCTGTGGTGTGGGACTTCTTGGACATTTGTATATTGTCACTTTCTGCATAGACTTTGGAGATCTGATTTTTGCTCATCTTAAGAAGAGGACTTAAAAAAAAAAGAGGACTTAATGGTAGAGTTATCCGATTTAAGTTATCAGATCTGTATTTTTAGGGGTTTATTTAGGCCTGGATGGAATTAAAATGGTTGTATAAATAGGATCAGTTATTCATTCAGTAATTATTTTATTTCTTTTTAGTCTTGATTTTTAATCATGGTAAAATATACATAACCTAAAATTGACATTTCAACCATTCTTAAGTGTACAGGTCTGTGGCATTAAGTACATTCACACTGTCGTGCATCTCTAGAACTCTTTTCATCTTGCAAAACTGAAACCCTGTACCCATTGAACAGCACCCTATTCCTTCCTCCCCCATCCCCTGACTACCACCATTCTACTTCCTGTCTCTATGAGTGTGACTACTTAGGTACTTCATGTAGTGGAGTCATATGGTATTTATCTTTTTGTGTCTGGCTTGTTTCACTCAGGATAATGTCTGAAAGGTGTATCTGAAATACAATCCATAGTGTAGCATGTGCCAGAATTTCCTTCCTTTTTTAAGACAGAATACTATTCCACTAAATGTGTATTTCACATTTTGTTTATGTGGCCATCCATGGATGGACACTGCGGTGGCTTCCACTAGTGTTCATACCTCAGTCGCCTTCCATTACACACTTACTGAGTGCCATATGGGCCGGATTCTGTTCTCAGCATGGGAGACTCTGTGGCTGTGAGTATCCCAGACAGAGGTGCTGCCTTCAAGAAGCGATCCACGAAGAAACACATTTCTTGATTCTGAATTACATTTTTCACATTTTAGTGTTCCTAAAATTGGGTGTCCTTTATGATTAACAACATCTTAGGATTTTATAAGGCAGTGTTTCTTTTTTAGTGACACCTAAAATAATGGTGTATCTTACAGTCATTTTGAATCATAGATTTGATGAGTCACTATTTAATAAGTCAGTTGCTGATAAGTGCTATGAAAAAAGGTAATCCAAAGTTAGTTACATGGGGTGGTCACAAATAAGGTGACATTTGAGCAAAGCACATGTTCAGTTTGGTTGATTCTTTTTTTTTTTTTTCCAGAGCAGGACTTCCTCCCTGAAAGATGCAGTGTGCTGGTTCACGTTCTGGTGCAAACTCTGTACCTCAGTGTGGGCCGCTAGCAGTCTGCGGAGAGGGTAGAGCCCTAACAGTGGGGATAGGGAAGGGGGTTGGGAGTATTTTGCAAGATGGGCCCAGATCTTGTATGCATGGGAAGGGCAAGGGTGATGGATTTTCCATCTTAGTCACTGGCAGCAGTGTTTCCAGTTTTGCTCAGAACAAAAACTTTGGAGTCATCTTTGACTTTTCCCTTTGCCCATACTTTACACCCCGTCAGCCAGCAGATCCTGCCTGCCGTGCCTCCAGAGCACATCCCAATTCTGACCACTCTGACCAGCCCCACCCAAACCACCGCGGGCCAGGCCATCTTCCTCCCTGCCTGGATTATCATGATAGCCTCCTAACGGGTCCCCTTTCTTCTATACGTGCCTTCCCGTAATCTCGTCTCCATGTAGCAGGCGAAGTGGTTCTTGAAAACATGTTTGATCGTGTATTCCTCTCCTTAGATCCCCCCCAAAGCATCCTGTCACTTTTATAGGAAAGGGTAATGTCTGTGTTTGCCTACAGGGCTCGGCTCCGTCCGCGTCCCCGCTTCTCTGACCTTCTGTCCCACCTGTCCGTCTCATGCTGCTTTTGCTCCTCACTGCCTCTGGCAGTCTGGCTGCTTCCTGACCATATCGAGCACGTTCCTGTCTCAGAGCATTTGTGCTCGCTCTTTCCTCTGCTGGAAGGACAGTTCCCAGCTGTCTGCAGGGCCCATTTCTCAGGTCCCTTCGCAAGTCTTACGTATCAGAAGGGCCTTCCAGTCACCCTGCGTAAAATGGCACCCCTCTTTCCCACCAGCACTGTGTTTTCCCGTACGTCAGGGTGGGTTAGGTCATGCTGCAGTAGCACATAGCTGCAAAGTATTGGGGCTAAAACCACAAGGTCTGTTTCTCACTGAGGGGAGCCCTCTGTTGCCAGTCCCCTGGGCGCTCTACTCCACATCGTCTTCACCTCTGGGATCCGCTCGCCCAGCTCCCACCGTGATCACCGGCAGAGGGAAACGCTATCCACTGCTTTTCAGCTATCTCCCTGGAAGTGACATCTGTCACACTGACTTGGCCAAAGCAAGTCATGCTGTCATACCGAACGTCAGCTAGGGGTGGTATGGATGGCTCAGCAATCTTATCACGGGTATGGAAAGAGAACAGGGACTCCCTGGTGGCTAACACAGCCATGCTTTTTATCCTGCTTAATTTTTCTCTAGCATTTATTTCCTCTGACGCAATACATATTTAACCTAGTCTTGTGTATTTTCTTTTCTCTCCTTTCTAGACCACAAAGGAGGGGCGCTTTGTCCATCATTAATGCTGTACCCCAGGGGCATGGGATAATGTGTGGTCTATCAGAAGTGCTTATTCATTTCCGGGAATGATGGGGAATGACCCCAGCCAAACGTTCACTTCTTCGCATGGCGACGTGTAAGCCAAGCTGGGAGTGTGGAGCAGGGAGGGTGGAGGAGAGAGGAGGAGATGGTGTGAAATGAGAAGTGGGAGAAAAGCAGTAGAATTGCTGGTCGGTGGGGAGCGTCCGCTGAGATTTGAGACCATGAACCTGCAGGAGATCTAGCAGCTCAGCTCTGTGACTTCTTCCAGTAACATCCATTTGCCCCAGAGCTGGCAGGGCAGAGGCAGGAATGAACGTCGGGGCCCATTTCATAAGATGAGGTGGAAGCCCAGGTTGAAGAAGGAAATGGGATCCTCGCTGCCCCTTCAGGGCGCAGCTGCGTCACCCCTGCTCCAACTTCCACCGTGTCGGAAAGATCCAGGAGCTCTTCTGTCCCGAAGGAAGCCCTTCCTCCTGGCTGGTGTGAGCGGTGGCAGGAGCTGACACTCCCGTAGGCATTCTTTCTTTCTTTTGCTTCTCGTACACTTTTGAGGTAGCCTCTCTTCCCTTCGTTTTACAGGTGAGCAGAACAGAAGCTTCAGGACAGAATTTAGGTTGGTCAAGCTCACAGCCCCGGTGATCTCCTGTACTTCTGAGGGGCTAGGCCACGAGGAGCCCTCTTAGTTTTTAGATTCCCTGGAGCCTTGGTTGCATCTGAGTCATGAAGATGGTATGCAGCTACCTTACTAGTGGTTCCATGTAGATGTTTGCAAGACCTTACCAGAGAGGAAACAGTTGGTCTATTTTTATATACTTAAAACGGGTGCAATAACCACATTACCAACTGTAACTAGTGAATTCACTCCCAGGGAATTTCTTGTGAATACAATTAAAGTGTACTTCACACGATCTGAGAATGTTGCCATTGGTGATTCTTTCCTGTGGTCTTACCTGTTGATGATTTGAACATTTCATATGTGTGGGGATCTGCGCTGGGCTCTATAGCCACTGTAGAGAAGAGAAGGAAGGTGATCTCCTCTCAGGCATTTTCACTGTGGTCAGGAAGACAAACGTAGTATGAAACCCTGACTATTCAAATGGTATGGAAACAAGGATGCAGAGTGGGGGCAAAGCCCGTGGGGCGAAAATGCTTCACTGAGACTGATGGAGGGAAGCGGAAACTAAGCTGGAGCTTGGAGGCTGCATAAGACTTAGACAAGGTTCTCCAGGGGAAAGCCGACTTGGGCCCCAGTGGTGGCCCTCGCACAAAATCTCGGTATGCCACTGTAGGCAGCACAGCTGGCACTTCTAACTGCTTTTTTAATTTTTTTGAAAAAATGTTTATGTGTGCGAATCTCATGTGTGCTCAGGAACTAACTCAGTTTGGTAGGAAACCTAGTCCTCTATTTCTCCAACTTTGGTGACCATTTCTGAAAAGTATTCTGTGAAAGTTCCTGGCTGTAAACTTGGTTTGGTCTCATGAGAGCCAAATGACCGTGAACCCCTGCCAGCAAGTTCCACTTGTTTTTAGTGCTCTTTGATCACTTCCCTCTGCAGGTGGAGGTTTTGGAGATAGACACTAATACGAATTAAATTCTGTAGTTTGTGAACGTTGTCTTCATTCTAATCCAAAGGAAGTGAATTCTCTTGCTTTTCACCCAAGTGGTTTTTTAAATCTTAGAATCAGTCATTCTGAAAGACGTTTTCTTTTTCCTTCTAGATAAGGCACCTCTGTCCAAGGGTCTTCTGCTGGTGCCCAGTGCCCTGTCCCTTTTGCTAGCCCTCCTCCTGCCGCACTGCCAGAGGTTCTTCGTGTATGACCTCCAAGCTGTCAAGGATGACTTCCAGGTGAGCTCTGCTAATGGGCCTTTGCAAGGAGAAAGACAGAATCTTTTCCTGGTGGGTTTTTTTTTTTTCTTCTGCTGTTCTTCTTTCTTTCCTGCTCTTCTTCGTCCCTCAAAGCCTCTAAATTTTTAAGAAATATTATTTATTTTTAATACTCCATCAGCAAGTGAATTTCCTAGTTGTATTTATTAATATTTGCAGGAAAGCCAGTTGTAATGAAGCAGTTGGAGTGTTTCCTTTTACTGTAGGCACATCTCACATTCACTTCTTACTCACAGAAATGCAGTTTACAGCTTCAAAAGAAAAGCAGTGTTAAATCTGTTTTAATTATGATTAGTGTGCATTCTTAACGTTTTTAAAAGCAATTTTGTGCTTTGCATTTTTAAACTTTATATTCCCAATCTGAGTATTGATTAGATGATCTAAGCTCTTCCAGCACTAACAGACTGTGACTCCATGAGTTACTTTATAGTGGCGGTTATATCAAGTAGGAAATTTCCCTTGGGTTTTTATTTCTGGGAAGAGCAGAACTCTGTGGCTTTTGAGATTATGGGCTAATCTCTTTGAAGATGCTGGTGCTGGGTTTTGGCTGTGAGTGGAGCTTAAAGGGATGTTCTGGCACCAGCTCTAGCATAGGACTGTCCCCACACCACCAGCAATTTCTGGGGACCAGCTGGGTGCTCTACAGTTCAACTAAGTCCTGACGCCGTCCACCTGGCGGTAGCATCGGATCCCACAGGTGAAGGCTTCAGTCCCACAAGGCTGCCCGCCCCGCCCACACGCTAGTTGCAAAGCCAAGGTCACTACCTGTGCTTCCGACCTGCTAGCAGCAGATTAGAGATTACCATGCTCTCCCCCTCAGATATGAGACTCCAGTTGCAGGTCCAGGTTGCTCCTGGTACCTAGGACTGATTGGCTTTAAATCAGAGCTTCCCATGACCCCCTCCTAGGTTTGATGAATTTGCTAGGGTGACTTTCAGAACTCAGAGAAACATTTTACCTGCTGGATTACCTGTTTATCATCAAAGGGTGGGATAAAGGACACAGATGAATGTCCAGATGGAAGAGGAGGACACAGAGCTTCCATGGTCTCTCTGAGGTGCCTTGGGCTCACCAGCCTGGGAGCTCCCTGAACCCTGGCCTTCTGGATGTTAATGGAGGCTTCATGAAATCATTGGCCGTTGGCAGCTGATCCAACCTCCAGCCCCTCCCTGTTTCCTCGTAGGTAGGTCAGAGGGTGGGACTGAAAGTTCCAACCCTGTAATCCCAAGGTTGGTTCCCCTGGCAACCAGCCCCCGCTCTTAGGTGTATCTAAAAGTCACATATTGACACACACAAAAGACACCTTCCTGGCTTTCATCAGTTAGGGAATTCAAAGGATTTTAAGAGCTCTGTACCAGAAATGAGTGAAAACCAAATCTGTATTTCTTATTATAAGTCACAATATCACAGGGTGTTAGTGCAAATTATGGTATATAACCTGCTACCTTTCCTTTGCTAAATACTCAATTAGCCATTTTAAACATAATATTCTACTTCTGGAACACTGACATCTTTTCTTCATGGTGATGTAATTAATGCCTTTGCTCATATTGGCTTTATCAAGTTCCTCTGAAAGGCTTTCAGTTATTTATCCAAATTACTGCTTTCTGTCAGAATAGAATATTGCTTCCCTCTCATTTCAGTTGCTATAATGCACTTCTGGACCCTGGCTGCACATTAGAATCACCTTAATAAACTAAACACACACACACACACACTGATGCCAAGACCTCACCCTAGACCAGCTGGGTTGAAAAATCTCATGGTAGGCCTAAACACTGGTGTACTTTAAACCAAAAATCCCAGGGGATTCTAGTCTGCAGCCAGCCCTGAGAACCACTGCAAGGGAACAGAAGGCCCTTTGGCCCCAAGTTGGTACATGTCTGATTTGGGGGATTGATTTGGTTTAGCTGGCCACGTAGGCGGGGTCCCCTTCTAATGTGCTGCTATATGGGCACCTGTGCTGTAAGGTGGGGACCTGCCTACATGGTGCATGTCATTAATTTATCAAATTAGGGTATTAAAATTAAGCAGTATGACGTAAATGTAATAAATTTGCTAAGGCAGAAATCTGAACAAATCCTACTCATTATTCTTTTTTAAATCCCCATTTAGATTTGGAGGTTGATATGTGGAAGAATAATTTGCCTTGATTTGAAAGATACTTTCTGCAGTAGTCTGCTTATTTATAATTTTAGGATATTTGAAAGAAGATATGGAAGCAGAAAATTTGCAGTAAGTTTTTATGAATTTTCCTTTTGCTGCTTAGGTTATGGAAAAAAGTATTTTTGTTTTCTTATTTTTAAATAGTTTTATTTTGCTAAGCTTAGTGTTATTATTAACAGTTGTCTTTTAATTACATGATCCTCTGTCTGATTTGAAGCATGCATATTAGCCAAAGAAAAATTTTCAGTTTGAGCCACTTGCATAATAAAATGATAATGATAATAGAAAATATCAGGTGTGAGTGGCTAATAAAATTTTTTATTAAGATTTTTACTTCAATAAAATTTTAATTGCTTATTGTGCTTAATGATTTGTGTGTTACTTGTTAAAAATAAATCATGCTATAAATGTGTTTTGTTTTTACCATACTTAGAAATTATGAAAATATTAATGCATTTGACCAATATGGCTTTTCTCCCCTATTTTGAAAACCCTGTGCTACTAATAAAAACAAATTAAAAAAATGTACCTGAGTTCCTTTTAATTAAATAAATGTTAGTTTATTTTTTGAAGACTCCTTTCAGTAATGTTCTTCCTGTTTTATTTTTAGTCCTTTTTGCTGGGTTCCTGGGTTTTGTCGGTTTTGGTTGACTTCATTCTCGTTGAGGCCGTGTGGTATTTCTTTGGTATTGCTGCAGCCGGGAATCTGCCTTCTGGATTGTAAGTAACTCTCAAAGATTAGCTTAATAATTAGTTAAATCTGATTTAAGTTTTTGTACATGAAAGTCAGTAAAAGAATATTTTAAACTCTAAATGTAGTAAAATTGACTTTTTGGGTAAAAAAATCCAATGTATACTTAATCACATTTTCATTATGTTCTTGAAAGAGAATCCATATTATACTCACTCCTTTTTTCAGCTTTGAAATATTTTAGAGAATTTTTAGTGAATGTCCTCTTTTGGTCCAGAAGGTAAAATTCATTTTGTATTTTTATGATGAAATTTTATCTGTAGTTTTATGAACTAACTAAACAAAATTTAGATTAGATTTGGAAACAGTTTGTCTGAAGTTAAGCCTCTGAAGAATGATGTTTTTAAAATTGGTATTTTATAGTCAGCTAGCAATAGCCAGCCCGTGTGTGTGTGTGTGTGTGTGTGTGTGTGTGTGTGTATGATTTTGTATTGTGTTGATCTTTCAAAACAAAACAAAACAAAACAAAACATGTATTAGTTTATGAAATAACTAGTATCTGAAAGTAGTTAGCACATATAAATGACCTTAAAGCGTCTTGGAATTAAGTTCTGAGAGATAAGATACTATGAAATACAGATATCAGATATTTAAAATTCTGTGTATAATAACTTCTGCCTTATTTTAATTTAGCAATATGTTTTTAGAGAACTGTTTGGGACTGAAAGTATCTTAATTCAGAGTCACTTATATAGTTAGTGATCTAATAGCCTTCACACTTATGTTGTTCATATTTATAGTGTAGCCTTTGTGGGATTTACTTAATTATAGTTGCACTCATTAATTGAGGGTTGACCATTAGCTTTTTAAAAAATGTTTGATTCTGAATGATATCTGAATGGAGACAGATAAATTTCTGTGTCATAATTGTTAGACTGTTTTTGTTGAGTTCCATTGGTTATGATTATAATTAGATGGAGAAGTTTAAGTTGACCCTTCTGCCGTTGTGGAAAATAGTGTAGTCATCCGGAATGACTCATGTTAATTCAGAAGAGAAGTAGCATTACCGAATCATTAGTTTTCCCCAAACATTTCTCATCCGGGCTCATTCTTTTTGGTTTTTGATATGGCCTCCTGAGTTATGGAAGTGTATTGAAAGAAAGTATGAATGTTAATTCAGCCATCACCTGAATGAGAACATATTTCTCTTTCCTTTTCAAGTTATAAAGTATTACCAATGGCTTTTTAGAGTCCTGAAGCTTTCTCAAACATAGACTTCTTGGAACATCAGTCTTTATTTCAGTAAACTGCGCATTTTGTAAATACGTCTTTCGTTAGACGGTAGCAGAGCTTCAGAAATTCAAGAGAGGAAACGACTCTTTTAGTCATTGTGCTTTATAAATTGCAATATTCTTCACATAACATCTTGTTACCCTTTTTCTTTTGCCACCAATGCCCAATTTATTTGCATTCTCTACAATTCTTCATTTCTGTTTAGTTCTTTCTCTTCTTTTTTTTACCTCACTATTGTTAAAACTTGTCTTATAAATGTCACCAGCAGCCAACTAATTTTTAAAGCCAGTGGCTTGTTTTCAGTTGTTTTATTTGGCCTTTCAGTGGCCCATAAGTGCTTTGGGCTCCCATTATTTCACGAACTGACCCGCTCCCTGGAGCCCCAGCACACTGCTCTCCCCTCGTGCTTTTTAATCTTGTTTACTGTGCTCAGCCTTCCTCAGGCTCCCTCTGGGCTTCCTTGTCCTCCCATGGCTTCAGCTACAGTTAACATCTTTTGTTTCCCAGCTCTCTATTTGCAGCCCATATTACTCTCCTGATCTTGCTGGAGCCACGTCTCCAAGTGACTTCTAAGACTCAGAGAAAATGGATCGTGTTCTGAGCTCTCATCTCTTCTGGTCTCCTCCTTTGCTGGGCTCCCATCTCCATTAATGGCATTTCCATCCACCTGGTTATCCAGTCTTCCTCTTTTCTCATCCTTTCTTCATCCTCAACACCAGGTCCTGTTAGTTTGAAGTCCTGTGTAAATCATTCATTCACCCCATCTTCTCTACTCCTGCTGTCAGATCAGTCTAAACTCTAAGATCTTATTTATTTATTTATTTATTTGAGAGAGAGAGCGCGCGCGCGCGCACGCGCGCTAGAGCACAAATGGGGGGAAGGGCAAAGGGAGAGGGAAAAGCAGACTCACCGCTGAGCAGGGAGCCTGACACCAGGCTCAATCCCAGGACCCCGATATCATGCTTGAGCCGAAGGCAAACACTTGCCCGACTGAGCCTCCTAGGCACCCCTAAACTCCGATCTTTCCCTGCCTAGGTTGTTCCAGTATTTCTCTAACTAGTCTTCCTGTCCACTTCAAAGCATCCCATGCACTGTGGTTAGAAGTTATTCTTCCAAAACGCAAGTTCAACCGTGCCAGGCTTCCTTTTAAAATCTTTTAAATCCTCACTTCCTTCAAAGTAAAATCAGCCTCATTCAAGATGGCAGCAGAGACGTCTAGAATAGTGGGAATGCAGAGGCTTTGCCGTCAGATGTGCCAGATTGGACATCGCAGCTCTCCCACTTACTCCTTGTGTAAAATCTTGAGCAAGTTACTTCTCTCAAGTTCCCTTGCTGAGCTCAGTTTATCTGATATGTGAATTGAGAGTCAGTACTCTATACATCCCAGGCAGTGGGAAGAATTAAGTGAGCTCTTTCATGCAAACATCCTAGCGGTGACAACCCTGACCCCTCATACTGGTTTTCTTCTTTCCCATCAGAGCCCTCATAATCTGTCCAGTGTTTCAAGTCACTCCATCGGTCATTCAGCTCTCTTAACATGCTATGTATTTGTATTCTCATGCCTCCTTGGTTTTCTTTCTGCACCCTGTCGCCCTTTTATGTGCATTCCAGCAAATTTATTAAGATCCCTAGCATTTATTACATTGTCATTGTAATTATTACCTGGGCTTTCCATGCCATCTTTCTGGCTGTTTGAGGGAGAACTAGTTTCACTTTATGTGCTCATTGCCTTACATTCTGTAATGTTGATGGGATAGCCTTGATTGCAAGTGTAGCCGCATAAGACTAAGGTAAGGTCTTCGACCCATAGGCCTGTTCATTTCGTTTATAGTGTCCTGCAAAGAAATTATACGTAGCATCTGATAGATTCTCAAGACTGTTATTTGAAATTCAGAAAATGTGACCATTATGTTTTGAAAGTAGAGATAACACCATTAAAAGCAATGTATATTAGGTGCTTTAAGACACCCATTCCAATCACACAACTGTCCTTAAATACCTATTATTTTTTAGTTGTTAGTATTTACATATGGATGTTATATTGTTTTTCAGAATCAGAATTCTCCAGAATAAGTGGAATTTTGAATTTTCACACATCATATTAAAATGCATCTGATTATAGTTTAATAAAATTATTTTTTAATTGTGCTTTAGATTATCTATAGTTTTACTGTGAGAACCGTAACATATATTTTGACTTGTGTCAGTAAAGTTTTTTTTGGATTTTGTGCTCCCAAATTAAGTTCTTTTCACCAAGAAAAACCATTACAGAGAACTTGCCATTTAATAGATTACCCAGGGAGCTCCTGGCTGGCTCAGTCAGTGGTGCATGCAGCTCTGGATCTCAGGGTTGTGAGTTCGAGCCCCATACTGGCTGAATTTAAAAATAAAATCTTTTGAAATTTTAAAAATTTTAAAAATAAAAATAATGAAATGATAAAGTACATAAGAGTAGACTAAACCATATAGTTGAGAGCAGGCTATGACTGTATATACAGACCATAAATCTGTATCAAATATAAGAGTTATTTCCCATGTTTCAGAAATAATTATTTGTTTAAAAGATACTTGCTAAAGTATCTTGTTCACTTGACTATTCAAACTAAAAACTTGAAGTAGTTTTCTTTTTGTAGAGAAACTGCGTCTCAGTACCACCTTGACGCCTTTATCTTCTGTAGGTCTGAGAATGTTTATGTTCTGTGAACTTTTTGCTTTTTATTATTGAGAATTGGTGGTTGACATAACAGGAACTTGATTTCTACTCCTGGTTCTTCAATTGAGCAAGTTACATAACCTCATTGGATTTTAGTTCCTTTATATATAAAACAGACAAGTTAGACTAGAAGGTCATCTAAGGGATCTTCTAGTATTAAAACACTATTTTATGATTAGGCTCCTTCCTTTTTTTCCCCCTAAGAATATGAATTTACCCATGTTAATTATAGAAATCTATTTCTAACTAATGCATTTATTTGATTCTTAGTCCCATTAGGAGGTGATCATGTTAAGAGTAATGAAAGTGATTTAGCAGAGAGGAAGTTATGGTAGACTAATTTCCATAATATTTATAATACTATGTCCTTTACAGATTATAGTTTACTTTCTTTTGTTTTTAAATAGGGAAGTTACTTGGTTTGTTACTTCATTGGGGGAAATTAAATGGCAAGGGTGGGGGAAGAATCCAAGGTCCCTGACTAGTGCTGTTACACTGTGATATATGGCCTGGGAAAAAAATCGTCTTCTTGTAATGTGATGTTTAGTCAATACGAAGAGTAATCTGTTTATCCTGGAGAAATATATTTTACCTAACAGCAGAAACTTCGTGTCAGAGAAATGAACTTGGGTTATTGGGCAGAAATAGGGTCAGGGATTAGGTCTCTTGCATTGGTTGTAAGTAGAGTCTGGTGCACGCAGGCTCTCAGTGTTTATTGAATGACTATAGTCTGTTCCCCCCCACCCCAAAAAAAAATGAATTCAGAGTAGGGGAGGGCTAATGGAGATTGCCTTTGCAGGCCCCTTGAGGTGATGGCTCCTGCTAATTTTGGTTGGTGGCAAGTAACAGTGATGGGTTGAATATAGTTGTTTGTGTAGGAATCTTGGAAGTTTGGTGTTTAGAAGACAAACTATTGTAAGATTTAGACTGTCGATCCTGAGTGTAAGTTAAACCAAAGGGAGCTTTGGTTTTGGCTTAATCAAATTATAATTTAATAATTTAAACTATTTGGAACAGTAAGTG